TCAAATATGGGTTACGTCAGTTAGCCAGTTAGTCAGGGCAGTGAGTCCGCTTTTTGCTCCCAAGTTCGAATCCCCTTTCCTCTAAATTAGATTAATTTAGAGTAGATTACCATGTGTATAAAAAAAAAATTTATAATTAAAAAAACCTAAATAAATGGGCTACCAATTTACAGTATTTGGTACATTCTCGATATTTTGACAATATTTTGTGGATACTCTGCAAACAGTTGGTCAATACTTAGTAATTAATATCACCTAAATATCCACAATGGTGTACTGTAGATTGATACTCGATACTAGCCAAGCCAAGTGTCTTTTCAATTTTTCATATTTTTAGAAAATCCCGGTTCATCATTTGCAGTCTGTGATACCACTATGGAAGCAACTGGAGTCCTACAAGGAATATCAGAACAAACTAAGACTTTATCTTGGAGGAATAAAGGCAAACGAAACAATCAATGGAGCTTTGCACATTATGAGCTTAGGCACCAATGACTTCCTGGAAAACTACTACACATACCCTGGCCGGTCATCCCAATACTCTATCCAACAATACCAAGATCTTCTCATTGGAATTGCAGGAAATTTCATCAAGCAACTCTACCATCTCGGAGCCCGTAAAATCTCCCTCGGAGGTCTGCCTCCGATGGGGTGCTTGCCATTGGAGAGAACCACAAACGTCATGGGTGGAAATGACTGCATTGCAGATTACAACAATGTAGCTCTGGAGTTCAATGGCAAGTTGAAGGGCTTGACCACAAACCTGAGCAAAGAGCTTCCTGGGATCAAACTGGTGTTTTCAAACCCATATTACATTTTCCTGCATATGATAAGAAGACCTTCTTTGTATGGTAAGTCAGTGAGTTATATTTATTTTTTATTTTTTCAGATGAGTCAGTGAGTTATATTAAGTCTGTGATCTGCTGCAAATGTTTGACCCAACTACTACACAAAAACTTTAGAGCACCATATTTCTCACTTTAGCATTTAAGTAGTCACATTCTTTGGGTGGCGGTTATCATGTGATTTTTCTTTATAGTTTTTATTTTTACTTTCTTCTCCCCGGTTTAAGCTAGAGAATTTGTACACGTGTTAAACTGTGATTTGTTTGATTAAATTTTTGTATGATTGACAGGATTTGAGGTGACATCAGTGGCTTGCTGTGCCACAGGGATGTTTGAAATGGGGTACGCATGCAATCGAAACAACA